ATTCATTCCTTTTTAACTTAGCCTCACCTAAAATTTTAAGACGTGGGTAGAATACAGCCAGCTTTGCCAAAATAGCATATGAATGATTCCTAGCCCAGTTGAAAATACAATCCTTGATCCCCTCTGAAACTTCATGAGCCAGGCCTATTATTTTATAAGCTTCAGATAATAGATAGATAGATAGATAGATAGATAGATAGATAGATAGATATTCATATAAAAGAGTTTAACTGTAGGAAGTATAATGCTCCTTCAGGAAGCCATAGGTTGCTTAATAAAAGTCTTAGTGAAAGGTTGGGATACCTCCCCTGGAGTTGTCAGTAAGGGGTGTCCTTGAGACCCCAAATCAGCATAGGCTAGTGACATTGCTCTTGGTTGCCCACCAGAACTTGATGGTAAGATCCTATTGCTGAAGATACCATGGGAGGTCATAGGACATGAAGAAATCAAGTTTGTACTGACCAGGAATCTTCCTCCTTGCTAGCCAGCTTTGATAGATGGTACCATGTAGGATGCTAAGAGAGGGTGAGTGATGAACAGTCATACCCAACTATGAACCCTCTGAACTGCAATAATTAGTGTGGCAAAATACGCCCCTGGGTGCAATAGTGGCACAAAGTCATGATAGTAACCTCTGATTTAAAGCCCATTCCATGGGAGGAAATACGTGTCTGGTACTGTAGATCTGGCCAAGAACCCATGGTTGAGAGCTCACAGGCCCCAGGAGTGAACCTGCTATTATTCTGCAAATGGACATAGTATCAAACTGTCTTTAAACTCTTATACCTACGCATAGATAAGTGCAGCTCCCATACCTTATCAGAGAAGTTTCTTTGTCCAGTGAACAGTAGTTAATGCAAAAATTCACAACTGGTCAAAATGCAGAGACTAAATGTCAGTGGAATGTTCAGCCACAAATGAAACATCGTATTACCTCCCTCACAAAAGACTCAGAGACTATCTAGGAAGAGGGGATAGAAAGGTTATAGTATTCAGAAGTCAGGGAGGGCAGGAACAAAATTGTGTCTTCTGGACACACAACTGCTGTCTTCCTGCCCACAGCGCTGTGGTTGCCTGCACAAAATCAAATCAGTCAACATCTAGCATGAAGGGGGAAGGGGCTCATGAGGAGCTAATGAGAGTTGATGGCTTCTGGGGGAGGAATAATCAGTATTTTTTAAGGATGTCGTCCCTGGTAGGTTGATCATACCCCAGTGGATAGCCCCACACCAAGAAATATACGGGCAGCACAAATTGGACTCAGTGGATTATTTGAAAAGTTGGGGGGGGTGTGAAACTATGGGTGTATCTGTGAGGAGTTAAGGAGAGGAGGATGGTGAAAACAACCAAAATACATTGTGTGAAATTCTCAAAGAATTAATAAAAGTATTGTATTAAAAACAACTTCCTATCAGTGCCTCACCTTTTGTCTACCACCCACCCTGACTCTGGCAATAACTTATTCATCTCCTGTCTTTATGAATTTGCCTGTTTTGGATAGTTCAAACAATATGTGACCTTTTGTGTCTGGCATCTTTACCTTAGCACAATGTTTCCATGGTCCATTTGGGTTGTGGTACTTATGAGTCCTCAGTTCCTTTCTGTGACTATTAAATTTTTTGAATATACATTTTTAATCTGTTTGCCAGTTGATGGATATTTGGTTTGTTTCTATTGGGAAAAAACCTTAAATAATGCTGCTATGAACATTCCTGTACAAATGTTTATGTGTGCTCCCCTTTTAGCTCTTGCTGGTATTAGCCTTGGAGTGGAATTGCCAGATCACACGGCAATTCCATGTTTAGTTTCTTGAGATTTTCTTCAACGTGTCGCCCTCTGTTCCTCACCATTCTTTACTACTATTAACCAGGCATCAGGTTCCAGTTTCTCTGTATCTCATCAATACTTACTAGTGTATGTTTTTAAAATAATACCAATCTAGGGGCTGGAGAGAAGGCTCAGAGGTTAAGAGCACTGGCTGCTCTTGCAGAGGACCCAGGTTCAGTTCCCAGCACCTACATGGTGGCAAACAAGCATCCATAACTCCAATTTCAGGGGATCTGATGCTCTCTTCTGACCTATGTGGGCATTGCATGACATGGGTGCACTTATACACATGCAGGCAATATACACATAAAATATAAATAATAAAATATACATTAAAATATAAATACACATAAAATATAAATAATAAATAAAATATTTTAAAATTATACCAACACAGTGTGTAATGCTATTAATTTGTATTTTTAATTTGCATTAACCCATTGATATTGAACAGCTTTTTGTGTATTTATTCATGATAATCATTGGCAAACTTTCTGTTTTTATGTTTGAGGTTTTGATTTTTCTTTTCAGTGTTGAGGATCCAACCTAACTTCTTAAAAGTAGCCAGTCTCTTGGCTAAAAGTCAAAACGTCCTTGGGCCTCTTAGCAACATACTCTGTTCCAAAGTCCAAAAAGGTCAAAAGTATTTAGGAGCTTTTATCTAATCCTTAAAAGATTTTAGGGTTACCTCTTCAGAGGGGGGAATGTTAGAGTAGCAAAAAGCCCCATAAAAAAAAGAAAGAAAGAAAGAAAGAAAGAAAGAAAGAAAGAAAGAAAGAAAGAAAGAAAGAAAGGGGCTGGAGAGATGGCTCAGTGGTTAAGAACACTGGTTGTTCTTGCAGAAGACCCAGGTTCAAATCCCAGAACCCACATGGCAGCTAACAACTGTCCGTAACTCCAGTCCCAGGGGATCCGACAGCCTCTTCTGACCTCTGTGGGCATTGCATGACATGGATGCACTTACCAACATGCAGGCAATACACGCATACACATAAAATAAAAAAATAAATAAAAATTTTAAAAAAGAAGGAGTATATGAAGTTAACAGAAAAAAAAGTGATGGGAAGATATGGAAGGAGTTGGAGGGGAAGGAGTGGGCATGGATTTGATTAAAACACCTTATATGCATGTATAAAATTTTTAATAATTTTTTTTGTTTTTGTTTTTGTTGTTGTTGTTTGAAAGAAAAAAAAGCAATTCAAGAGCTCTACCACACCTCGAGTTCTTTCATTTAATGGTTTAAAATTTTTTAAAGTTATTTATTTATTTAGGTATGTAAATGCATGTGTATGCAGGGGGTTGCTTGTGCCTGTGCACATGCGGAGACCAGAAGAGGTATCCCTCCCTGCTTAATTCCCAGGTTTCTCCCTGAACCCAGGGCTCAAATTTTCTCAGCTAGGCTGGGAGTCAGCAAGCCCCAGTAATCCTCCTGTTTACTTCTTGTGGAGCTGGGGTTACAGGCTTGAACATGATGGCCGGCTTGTTATGTGGGTACTAGAACCCGAACTCTGGTCCTCATTGCAGGGCAAGCATTCTGAACTGCTGAGCCAGCTCTTCAGTCCCTTTTACTCAATTTTAACTTGGATTATTTCTTCTATTGTTGAGTTATAAGAATTCTTTATATACTCTATACACCAAGTCCTTACTGGATATGTGTTTGAAAAATATGGGCTGTCTTTTTACTTTCTTGATAATATTCATTGATACACAAAGATTTTTCATTTTTGAGAATTTTGATTTTTTATTTGGTTCCTTGTACTTTGAGTGTCATAAGAAACCATTGCTTTACCCAAAGCCATAAAGAAACATTCCTGAGGGCTGGAGATGTGGCTCAGTTGGGCAGCACTTGCCCAGAATGTACGAGGTCCTGATAAATGTGTTGCCCAGTCTCCCTGGCACTTGGTATTTCTTTGTCTGGAATCCCAACTGGCTTCATCTCAGGACAGCATGGCTGAAAGCTTAGTTGACTCTCAATGTATATAATCTACAGTCCCTGTGTATGTGTCTCTGGGGCTAGCAAACGAGCTGTGCTGTCATCTTATCTACCTTTTTCTGACCCCTTAGGTGATCCTCCACTTCTCTATATCAATCACTCTTGTTACAGTAACAGTGGTAACTGTCATCACGAATGTGCATTAGCAGTGTAAGTCAATGGTGTTTCCCGTTATTCTGCCATCCATGTACATCTCACTCACTGATCTTGAGCCTCCTTGCTTCTAAATTTTCCTCCCCTCTTTGCTCTCTGTTCCCAACCCTCTTCCCACTCCTTCAGAGTTCCCCTTCTTTTAGGACATTTTCATTTTTATTTCCTCATGTGAGAACACTGCCTTAGTTCACTTAATATAAAGTCCTTGAGCTTTATCCATTTTCCTCGAAATCACAAGATTTCATTCTTCTTTATGCTTGGGTAATATTCCATTGTATATGATACCAATTTTTCTTTATCTGTTCACCTATTTACATTCCTCTTCTGACCTTTGCAAGCAGTGCATATACACGGTGTCCTTACATACATGCAGGCAAAACATTCATACACATAAAAAAAATGAAATGAAATGAATAAAAGGCACTTGCATTTTTGAGATAGAGTATCCTTGTAGCCCCAGCTAGTCTGAAACTCATTACATAGACCAGGCTGGCTTTGCAAAGAGGCCTCTGCCTCCCAAGTGCATGATTAAAAGTGTACACCACCACTCCTAGCTAAAAATTAAATTTTTTAAACAGATGGGCTAAAAATGTCAATGAACACCATTTCTAGATTCAGAGGGTTTGTGTGTGGGGGGTGCTGGGGGCTTGAAACCTAAGGTATTTTAGGCATGTGCTCTACTGCTGAGCTATACTTCCAGCCTAGGGTGAGTCCAGTGTGTTCCAAGTCATTGATCCATACATGGATATCAAATGCCTACCTCAGCTAGATCAATCAACGAACAACTACCCCACATGTCAAACTAACCAGACTAGGTCATTCTCCCAACCACCTACCTATAGCCTGGTCATGAGCCCACCTGACAAACATGTTTCCAGCAACACGCCTCTCACAGTACATCTAGTTAACTTTTCAACAGTAAATGATATCATTGGTCATGAACTGAGTTGTTTCCAGTTCATATGAACTGACAAGTATAGCTCCTCCAACATGTCTCTTCATGTCTCTTTTACAGCATACAAGGGGTCAGGCAGATGGCTTCACTCAGGCATCCCACAAAGTAGGGGAGTGTCCTTATGGGCAACCTTAACCTGCTCTAAAATTCGTCTCACATTAGCAGTGTGGACTCGAGCATCACCCCAAATCTTTATTTTCCTTACTCATAAGTTTAAGGCAGGATGCAGAGGTTTTTGAGGAAAACTCTCTTACGAGTTCCCTTCTATGTTTCTTCCCCCATCTGCTGCTGGCATGCAGAGAAACCAGTAGCAGAGGTCCTAGGAGAGGGCAGAGTGCAGATGGAAGGATCTTTGAATTGTGTCAAACATGACTGCCCACTGACCACCCTCAGAAACACTTACTGTGAGTGAAAATGGACTCTTCTTTTTGTGGTGGTGGTGGTGGTGGTTGGTGTTGAGTTCACAGTCTTCCTGCCTCAGCCTCTCAAGAGCTGAGATATCAGGCATACACCACCATGCCAGGCAACACCATGGAATTTTTATAAACCTTTTTGTATTTTTGCTACTGTAATTGGCTAGTACGTAGGGAAAAGCAGACTTAGGTACCTGTGTCCATGGTGGGATGGGAGAAACTGTCAGGACTATTAGGGATTGTAACAAGAGAAATTAAGCCTTGGGAAAGAAGGGGAAAAAAAGCACAGAATCTCATGCTGATCTATATGAGTTTATTTGTCAAAAGCTTAGACCTTCTCAGAGCGAAGAGATCAAAGAGCAGGCAGAGAGGTCCTCAGCTGGAGCAGGTGAGTGTCCCAACATGGAACCAGGTGACATACCATCTAGCACAGTCACCCTCCATCCCACACTAGTAGTGGACCACATAGAATCTAGAGTTTCATCAGTGTTTTAAAAGGCTCTCTGGAAGGGAAAAATTAGGTAGTTAGAAGTCAGTAGGAGAAAATCTATATCCAAACAATAGCACCCTGTACTTCAAATAAGGACAGAATTTTTTCTGCTGTATCGGAAGTTACCCCCTTTTTAAAAGCAGCTTTCCAGGCCAATAAGATGGTTTGGCAGCTAAGAGGACTTGCTACACAGCTTGTCAACCTACATTCAATCCCAAAGACCTACATGGTGGGAAAGAGAAAACCAACCCCCACAAGTAGTCCTCTGAGCTCCTCACACACGCCATGGCACGACTGAGCACACAGGCAAATGCACACACACATGCATGCATACTTCACACACACAAAATATTTTAAAATATTAAAGCAATTTTCCCCAAGAGGTTTGCTGATTGCGAAGACAGCTGGAGACAAGGTCTCGTTGGATCTGGTGAGAAGGAATCAGTGATTGGGTCATTGGACAAGGAAGGAGAATATAAACTGTGAGTGAGGTTATGAGGGAAGCAAAGAAACTGAGTATGATTGAAGGGAAAAAAATAAGCAGAGACCCCCAGGTCGGTGAATGGTAAGATATATTTAGAGATGGGAGGCTCCTGCTTTATCTGATAGCTTCTATGACTGGAATTTACATCACTGCATTTTTCTGCAACTTCTGATAGAGGGTTGATAGTGGTGAGAAGCAGAAATCAAGCATCCCACACCCTCACCTTCCCACCCGGAGAACTTACTCATTATCCAAGCAGATGCTTCCACAGTAGGTCCAGCAGCAGGTGTGGTTTGGACTTGCACATTTATGCACTTTGGTGCACCTTTTCCCACAAAACTGTGGTGGAGGCTGGACCCAGCACTGCTCAATTTTTATGATTTCACCTAGAATTGAGATGCTAGAAGTTGGCAGAACCATGACTTAAAGAAGAAACCCTTTCTGGATCTTGTACTCCATGCCTCAAAGTATCCCTGTCTTCTATGAAAATCCCTTTCTGGGCATGGTGGTGGATTTCTTAAATCCCAGCACTTGGGAGGCAGAGGCAGGGGATCTCTGTGAGTCCAAGGCCAGCCTGGTCTACATAGCAAGTTCCAGGCCAGCTGGGACTACAGGGAGAACCTGTCTTGAAAGAAAGAAAGAAAGAAAGAAAGAAAGAAAGAAAGAAAGAAAGAAAGAAAGAAAGAAAGAAAGAAAGAAAGAAAGAAAGAAAGAAAGAAAGAAAGAAAGAAAGAAAGAAAGAAAGAAAGAAAGAAAGAAAGAAAGAAAGAAAGAAAGAAAGAAAGAAAGAAAGAAAGAAAGAAAGAAAGAAAGAAAGAAAGAAAGAAAGAAAGAAAGAAAGAAAGAAAGAAAGAAAGAAAGAAAGAAAGAAAGAAAGAAAGAAAGAAAGAAAGAAAGAAAGAAAGAAAGAAAGAAAGAAAGAAAGAAAGAAAGAAAGAAAGAAAGAAAGAAAGAAAGAAAGAAAGAGAAGGAAGGAAGGAAGGAAGGAAGGAAGGAAGGAAGGAAGGAAGGAAGGAGAAAGAAAGCCCTTTCTTAAATCCTATCCAGTCTCATCAGAAGAGATCATCTCTGTACAGCATGCATGCCTTCCTTCCATATGTCACCAGAGCACTGTGGGACTCTGGGTCCATTTTTCATTCCCTAAAGGCTCCCAGACTAACTGTTGTATTTATTATCTCCATTTTGTTATTCAGCAATGTCTCACTCAGCCAAAACACAGAGGTTTTGAAAATGCGGGTTCAACAAAAGGTCACAAATAGCCAAAACGCAGCAATTAAGAGTCGCAGAATGCTGGTCCTTGGACAGGACTTATGTATTAAACTTCACCCACCCAGGGCTTAGGGACCATCGCAGAAGAGAGTGCAGAAAGATTGTAAGAGCCAGGGAGGAGGTGCAGGACCATATGGAAACAGAGGCCTACAAGCTCCTGGGAACCTGCTCATATGATTCTACAGCAAAGGTGTCAGCATACACAAGTCCCATGCAAACTCAGGCAGA